AAAAATGAGTGAAAACGACATGAACAAACCATCAGTGTAATACAACTTCATAAAACAACTTCAGGTAATAAATGCTAATGAAAATTAATGGAATGGATGTACTTAAAAAAACATGGAGAAGTATACTGACCTATACAAAGTCAAATGCACAAGTAATCAAGTAAAAACTAGATTATTCCATGAAAGTATATCCATTACATTATCAAAACAAAAGTGAAATTACCTTGATTGTTGTATTACTGTTACGGCTCTCATACTTGCACTCACAACGTGGACAAAATTCTTGTTCACGGCCTTTGATATCGTCTGCTACTCTTGGTAGTACAACATTGTCGCAGTCACTGAAAGGATCAGTTTAATATTTGCTAACTTAAAGTATATCTGGACCTTCACTACATACTATACTGATATTTTTTCAATGGAAAAAATTATGTATGTATTATGTATTATGTATGGTTATACTTATGTACAAATGTAAAAACAAATATTTTTACACCAGACCATAATCGTAAAGCAAATAAAAAAAACAAAACAAGGAGAGGAGATACTGTCAACATGAATGTGGGTTTTATTCAGTAACCACCAACTCTTTATACTACTTACCATTTGCTTGGGGCAACAGGTTCCTTGTAGACCATGCGGTTACTCTTGGTACCATTTATGACAGAAGGGTCAGGGCATATACAGATACATCTCTTATCCTCATACTGTGCCTGAAATATATGTAACAAATACAAGTGGTTTCAATTCAAATATTGATAATTTTATATTTTATCTTGTTAGTCAATGCTTCTGCAGGACTTGGGTTCTTTTAGTAAAAATTACTTGACACAAAAAATACGAAAACAAATGTCATAATAAGTTATTAATATGTAATGTATGTGTGAAAGAAAAAAATATACTTTCTCTTCTGTTAAGATATGCATGCAAACTGAAAATGTTTTGAGAGTCATACATAGAATTCTTTCCCTCCCCTTACGTTTCTGTATAAAACCAGTGGGAATATTCCAGAACAGGTCTGCATCTTAAAATCCACTGTATTTAGTATTGGTGGATTCCTTAAGATGTCTTGCATGAATTTATAGTAGTCACAGTTGATGCTTGGCTACAATATTGACAATATCCTAAAAGACTTGATGGCAAAATGTTTCCAAGAAAATGGGATATATTCTGAGGAAAGTGAGGAGTCAAATTATGCGCCATTCATATATTTTTACTCATACCCTACCCATGCAAGAAATGCAAAAGCTGCACCATATCTGACTGCCAAGACAGAGCTCGGACAGGTCATGTGCCTTGTGAGTGAGGTCATGACTCAGCCAAGGTGGTACCTAGATATATAAACTTGGAAGTCTACTAGTTCCAATAGCTATCATGGCTAAATTCAATAAGTGGATCAACAGGAGCCCATTAATATCAAATTCAAAGTGTTCCAAGATTCCAATCTATTCTAAAAAGTTACCAAAACATTTACTGTTTGAAATTGGTTTCATAAATGGCACTGTTTGTTCTAAGACTAACTTATGGAGTTTTCTTTTTAATACTAATACTGTGTTCAGAACTCCTTGTCCTGCTTGTCCAGATAAGTTGGACAAGATGTTTTGACCATTCAGAATCTCTACTTTCTCATCCTGGACAAGTTATCCATCTCGTGCCTATTACCTTCCTGCTAGGCGAGCAGGACTAGGATATTTTTGTGTTTGACAGTTGCGGGTAAGTTCAATATGCATCAAAGAAGTTACAAAACCCATGCAGGGTGTAAAATAAAGACACTGGTATGATAAAACAATGAATGTTTACTTTTAAGCTGGCTGCATTCTGGGCAGTAAAGGTTTTGGAGGTTCCGAATGCAGCCTTATTGTCCTGCTGGTCCTGACAAATTGTCTGGATGAACAAGAAAAGGAGTTCTGAACGCAGCATAAAGACTTCAAGCATTTTTTGAAATGTTGTCTTACTTCTTTCTATCATTTTAATAAAAAAAATTACACATCTGACCAGACACTTTCTCTTTATTGTGAAGCTCATCCAATCATGGATTCTTCTTCTGTTACTTACTTTGTGAGAAAAATATTGTAAACTTAATATCGAAATTAAAGGACATAAAATATAAAAACTTTCACCCATTCAACTTCTTATACTTAAACTAAGCTTAGTCTTAATAATTCTAACCAGTGATTGTCTAGAAAAAAAAATATAAATAAAGTATTTTCATATATAACAGGAAGCCAAAAACAAATCCTTGGGAAAAGGAAGCTATTCATCATCACGTGATACACCTTTTCTTTGAGCAAAAACCCCAAATAGAGATTACCTCTATTGCCTAACGAAAGAAAAACCGTGGCAGCTAAATGGTCAACAATTCATACCTCAGTAAAAACTGCACAGAAGGAGAGAAAAGTGAGGATAAATATGTACGCAGACGTCCCCATCTTGATAGGTCCAGGTAAACAATACGGCATTCGTTGTTAAACAAATTTAGAAAAAAACATTTCATTTAAGAGATGATATCACTATTTAATAATAGATTCAACTTGAGTGTAACTGATCAATGAGTATTTTTTGATATCCCATTGCAAAATGCAAACACGAATGTCATCAACGGAAAGGGGAAAAATCCTTGATTGACCGAAAAAAAATGGCCAGCCAGTTCGTATATACTTCGCATATATTTATCTCGACCAATATCAAACAGACAAAATACATCAGACGACAGAAAATATATTTCAACGTTTATTTTGACAGTCAGCTGACCCAGCAGGAGGGGCGGGGGAGGGGTAGGGCACCGGCGCTGAGTGGGGGAGAGGGAAGGAGGGGAGGCGGAAAGGAGGTGCTGGAGGTGAGGTTAATGGGGAGTAGGGAGGAGGGTGATAAGGGAGAGGGAGGATAGGAGGCCGGGGGTGAGGGAGGGCTCAGAGGGCAGGTATGGGGGAGGAGAGAGGGGGTACGCAGGAAGTGTGGGAGGCAAGGGGCGGACCCACGAGAAGAGGGAGGGATGAAGTAGTGGTGATTTTTGTCTCCGGTGAGCTCATTTTTTGGGGTGTTTTCGGTTTTAACAGCAAATTTAACTTTTGGAAACATTTTGATGCAAAATCTCTCGTTTATTTTTCTAACAGATTGCTACTATGTGTATATCGGTTGGTTTAATGTGGCACAATGTGAGGTGTTATTGTTTTTGTTATTTGTTACTATTTCTGAAGTACATGTTTATGCAGTTAAGAACAACATGTGGGTTCAGTAAAGCTATTGGAAGACCATTTTGTCATTTTTGATGAACAGTATTGTATTAATGGCAACAGTAGTGGTATTTGTTACTGAGAGTGCACCCTCCAGAAAAAAAACAAAAAACAGGGTATCATGCAAACTCTCAAATCCAAACCTAACTTTTATTAGCTCTTCGTACCAACTTCCATAAATGTGACATTAAAAATTGGCTGTGTGAGGGTGTTGTGAACTGAGTCTTTTAGTGATGACATTCAGCGGATATTTTTGTCACTTCAACGAAATAGGCAGCTTGTCTTCCGTGCTTCTTTTCCTTTCTTCATCCTTGCTCCCTTCTCCTCTCCTTGGGAATCCCACCAAATACCTTGCTCGTTGTTGTCATGGGGTGGCTTAGGAGACGGAGACTGGAGCCCTATGTAGGGATTGCCTCAACCGTGGACTTCAGCCCTTCCCTCAACTAATTTTGCTCGGTCTTTTCTTCTCCTTTCCTCTTTTATTTCTTCTTCATTCCCTTCCTCTGTCTCATTCCTAAGGTGTGAGATCTTTTCACCACAGTACTTTACCATAGTGTTATGTGATCTTAGATGTCTAGCGCATTTATTTGTTTCAACCATTAACCATCCCTTGAGAATAACCCCAGGCTATTGTATATTCTGTTTGGTTTTCCTTGTTATTTTTTTTCTTCCATGTGTTAAATGCTCTACTTCTTAATTTGATTATTTCATTGCATTTCTTATTTCATCATGGTTTATTTGGTTTGTTTATATTGTAATGATTTTTTAGATGTGGTGCATATTAGTCTGTATCATTTAGTAGACTAATTATGACATTTAGGGAATTTGTATTTTCTATATCTTTAGAAATCAGTTTCTAAAAAAAAAGAAAAAAAAGAATCCATCCTTCTTTTGTACATATCAATTTTTCTCTTTGTAAGATTATTATCTTTTATAATAACTGGGAGAGGATCACCTATAAGCGTTGAGCAGTTTCTATTTCTAAATGCCTTTGAGGTTTTGTTGATAGAATCAAGTCTATTGTTGTTTCTTTCGTACTTTTGGGATCAATTCTTGTTGTTAGCCTAGGTGGTGTTAATAAGATTCTATTGCTTTGATTAGTAATTTTGAATATACAGTATAAGCCCAAGGAACCACAGGATGACACTCTAACCCTAGCAACCACAATGAGTCCGATTGTGCACATGGAAGCGAGCACTCCCAGTTCCCTCTTCAACGTACTGTCAGGCTAATTTAACACTGATCACTTTACCAAGGGGTTTATTAATGCACTAGAAATGGTAGATGTATTTTAGATTTCACGTTGTCAATTTTTTAACCATTTGTGAATATTTTTTTTTTTTTTTTAATTTGTGTATTTTCTTGTTTTTTCAAATTTCTAATATATTTATCATGTGTACAATCCAGTTCTTTTAGTTTATTTTTGATAACCTCTTATGTGTATAATGAGAGTATAATGCAACTACTGGAGTGATTTTCGAGTAGCTTGTTGCTATTCTTCATGCACAAATTTGAAGGATTTTTTCTTTTTCTCTTTTCAGTTTGTGTTTTGGGCTATGCTGAAAATTGTGATACCATATTTTGTTTTAGGTTTTATGGTAATATCATGGAATTAAATTATTGTCTATCAGTTTGCTCCCTCTGATGAAATTATTATTATTATTTTTTTACATTATGTTGATTCTATTTGAGCATTTGATATGTTTTTCCTGCTTATTTTTGGTACATCAAATTATAGATCAAGAATTATGTAGTTAGCATTGGGGAATTGAAATAAAATAAGGATATTATGTCTGGTCTGTAAGGTTTAACATTGATTTTTTATGTCTATAATTAATTCTTTTAGTGTAAGATCTTTGCCTATGCATTTAATGTGTGGCTGTTCTGTTAAATTATTTATTTCTATTTTTTGCTATTAAGCATCTTGTTTTTGTTGTTTGTTTATTATTCTTTGAACTTATTATAACAAATTAAGTTTTTATTCAATTTGCAAGATTGGTTGATCACTATCAATTAAAGGGTAATTGCTAGTTGTGTGTTAACGTGCACTTTTTTGTAATTGAAATTCCAGATCTTTTGGTTGTTTATTAAAATATAAGTAGCAGAAAATTTCCCAATTTTTAAAATAACTTTCTTGCTTTAGTTTGTAGTCTTTTGTATTCTAATCTGTTTACTTCATTTGGCTTCTTCAACTTTTCCCCCTTATTCATAGGTTTACCATTTTATTAATGATGCATTATAATTTGCTGTCAAAAGCCTTTTCTGGATCTATACAGGCTACTAAAGCATATTTTTTTTCTTTGATGGTATTACTTATGTTTATTTCAGTTATTTATTTCAGCTTATTTCTATAGCTGTCATAGTACAGAGTCCATAAACTTTGTTTGATTTCACTTCATTCAAGTTCAGTGTTCAGTCTACAAAAGATTCTTCATTTTTCCTCCAAACCAAAATTTTCCTTTTATGACATTTTACTTGTGTATCATTATAAATATCAGTACTGTCACTTCTGTCACAGAGAGAAATGGAGCCCTCAGGTAGGCTGATATGACATGATAGGGTGTCTTGCAGGATTTCCTAAGTCTTGTGAAAATTTGGTCTTGTGAAAATTTTTGATGGTGGTGGGTTGCTGAGATCATGGGTTCTTGGAAAGTAGTGTCTATTTTTATTTTAGGATTTCTAAATACTAAGAAAACTTTTTAGTTACATAGTTGTGTTATAAACTGTTTTTAGGTTGTTGAGATATTTAATTTGTGATTATTATTATCATTATTATTATGTATACTTTTTTCTTATCCATACTATTACATTGGCTTATACCTGGCCATTGTAAAAATTTGCATCTTGACTAAGACCAACCAGTGTCCACCAAAATAACATTGATAGATTTCCATGGTGATTTATTATCAAATATGAAATCAATCCAAATCTCTGTTGCAAAACTATATTTGGTGGAGATTTTTTGGCCAGTAGTGATGCACCAATTGACAGAAAGACTAGACCTATGGCAATTATGTAAAACTGTGCCACTATCAGGTTGGGCTTGATTAAAGGTTTTTCATCACAGGTCAGCTTCAAGTAGATTTGAATAGAACACAACCATTGCAATAACAAAAAGAGAGTTCCATTTGAAAACCAGTGTCAATCAGTTGGAAAGATTTTTTTTTATTCCTTTGTTATACACATGCTGGAATCTTATTCCAAAATTTTGGCAGTTGTGTTTAGGAAAAGGTTCACTTCATGTTGAATATGTATGGTATGTACAGGTTTGTGCCAGTCTTTTTTTCAGAACAGAATGAGATTAGCATGTTTTCATTGATTACAAATTAGGTTTGCATCCTGATTAAAATCTGAAAGATAAACTAGTATTCACTAATGGATTCATTTTTAAAAAAGGTTGCATTGAGATCTACTGACTGAGAGAAAAGGAAATTGTTACTCTGAAAATAAACAGATACAAAGAAACATGGTCTAAAAAGAAAATGTTTGACCAGTTTACACCTAGTACTATAGTGTTTTTGTAATGTTGTGTGTTTGCTTATCTGTCTGTCCATCTCCCCCTCCCATTTCTCTTTGTCTATATCTGCTTATCTCTGTAATTATCAACCTGTGTAAATATGCATGTAAATATCTGTTTTTCTGCATGTATTTTTTTATGTTTGAGTATGTATGTGGATGTACATGTACATGTGTATTTGTGCTGCATATTAAAATTTATATAGATATTTGATCATGCTTTCCAGAAAATTGTAAGATAATGAAGCACACACAATGATGGATTTTCTGGCTGAGAATAATGTCTGTGGGCAGACCCTGCTCCGGCTTGTGGCAAGGGCAAATTCCATTATTGCAGAGTTGATGCGTTTATCTGACTATGTTCCTCAAGTATTCAGGTAATTGCTTTTGTCATTGTTGTGAGTTTTCAATTTTATAGTAATGATTATTTTTATTTCAAATACATTATCTGGATCATATTAAAGCAATATTTTATGACAGAATTTCCTTTAAATTGATTAATTGCTCATACTTTGGAAACAACCTAATTTTCCTTAATTGATATAATGAGGTATTGTGATGATGCAAATTCTTTTATTAACATTTCAGATTAGAGACTAAAGTTGAACAACAGAAGTATGGAGACGTTGTTTTGGATTTTACTTATTTCAAAGCCCCTGAAGGTTTTAATAAGAAGATTGAAGATACAGCTGTAAGTGGTGTGATTTGTTATTGTATATCACAGCTGGTCAATATATTATAATTTTACTGA